TCACCTTTCTATTTGGTGTAGTATTGATATTGTGAGCAGAAATTCTGTGTTGGTCACTTATGGGAGTTAAAGGAATCATGCCGTTAGACGGCAAGGAATGAAGGAATGGTCATTACGCTTAAAACTTGAATTTTAACAATTGGTCTTTAAAAAAATGGCTAATCGCAAAAATTGCTCTTTTAAGAACGAACGAAAGAAATTAACCGTTAACCGTAGATTGGCCAAAATTTTAACCGTCAAAAAATTTTAGCTGCAAAGCCATTACAAGAACCTCTTTGAGATCCTCTTAATAGTGCGTGAAGCGACATGTGGGTGTCTCCTTTCCATATTGATAGTGGATCGGAAATTGGACATCTTTATTCTTACGGAAATTCAAATCCTGAAGGAAATATACCGAAAGATTAAATCAAGTAAAACATGTTAGTGAAGGCGTTTTGAGGATTTACTAATTTTTCTTAATTGATTTCAAACGCAACGAGGTTGAACAAAAAGATTGTCCAAACAAACTGCGTCTCTGCATTTACAAACAAATCACTGGCTTCGTGTTTTTGAGAGGAAAAAGACACAAAAACCTGGTCTCATTGTCTCGGAATCTTATTGATTAGATATTTCTACGTTTAGGACAGAAAAAAAAAGGTGAAATACACCACACGAAAATTTGGGTTCACTCGGGTTGCAAAGTAAGCGAACGTGTTGAAAATTTAGGAATATAAATTTGTGCGAACGTGCTGATTAGCATGTTCTTGCGGCTTTCCTGTCACACGTGATATAAACGTGACATTGTGCTCTTTGTTTCCTTCACCTTTGCAGATAATTCAATTTTTTAATGAAGACATGAATTTGCACAAGCATTACCCTCTTTGCAAAACCAGGCAAATATAGTGCAATACAAATCTTTTTATTCCCATGTTTGAAAACGTTTTCGCAGGGGATGCAAATGTAAACATTTGCTGATAACTTGCTCTAAATGGATCTAAGAGCAAGAACTAATTTGCTAGAAACTCACAAAGATTTGTAATAGAAAGCCAAATAATACATTGCAAAACTTTTAGAGGGTGTGTTTGTTTCTTGCTACATTTGATGTGATTACTTAAGGGAAGCCCGATCAACGTTTCTGTGACCAAGGAATGTTGACTGCTGAATTGCTTGAAATGTGACTCTCAGAAACTTCGACCTTTTCGCTTTTAACCATCATAGTCGCGCCTTGTGAGGAAATGCTATTGCGTTAGTGAACGGAATACTATAATCCAACCGGATTTAAGTCCTTCGTTTTTCTCTCCTTTTTGACCCCAATGGAAACTTTGTTTGATTCAAAACGTTCCCAGTCTATTAAACTCTTTCAGCTTTCTTTTGCAAGCCTAATGGTCCAGACCATCCACTGATCTTCGAATCCTTATCTGTCTCTGGCGTGCGTGCGTGCTTTCGACTGTTACAGCACAAAAACATAACCCAATTAAAGTTCTTGTCAATGACAAACAAAAGTTTGGATGAGTATTTTACATCAAAGAATGTTAGACACCTGAGAAAGTATCAATTTCTTTGTTTGTCCACCTATAGAACGCCTTTCAAAAGCACGTCAAAAGCACGTCATCTGTTTCTTTTATTGACCTCTTGAAGCGTGACCTCGCAGCCCGCGTGGGCGGCAGAGGGGAAGGGCATACTTCTAATGCAAACCGATTGTTAAACAACAGCGTGAAATACGGTGACAACTTTTTGACTGTAAATCTTCCCATTTTTAAATCCCTATATACGAGACTTTTCTCACCCCCAAAATCTCGAAAAATGTGCGATTCCATTGTTGTAACTCCATTAAAGAATGCAGCCCTATTACAGTCAATCCAGTCGTAAAAATGCGACTAAGAAGTACTTACCCCAATCCCCTCACGGGCATGCACGGGGTCTTGTCAAGCACAGTTTCCGCACAATGATGTACTTAAGATTTTAAAAGGTTCGTTTTATCTCCTCGTTGCTTAGTCGCCACTTTGTCCTTGTCTGTGGCAAAACTGCACAAAAACAGAGATGAATTATTTCAATATCGGAACAAGAATTAATTTAGGAGTTCCGGTGAGTTAATTTTTCTCTTGAAAGGCTTTAACGATAACAGCCAGAGTTCCTCACGGAAAACAGAACATTTTCATCAGGAAATTTATTTTGACAAATTTGCACTATAAACACTTTTGGAATTTTTTTGTTGTTGATTTCTTTCTTTCTTCCTTTGGATGGTATTGAGAGGCAGTCCACAATGATATATTTCCTGCTCACCGGGCGGACATTGCGAAAGATCAGAAATTAGATTTAGAAACGGATGCTAACGATAAAGACAAAAGTGTCAGCATACCCGCCTAAATAACTCATAGAGGAAAAATTTAACTTGGTACGCGCGCTCTCTTTGGCCGGTAGGTGTGTTTTGATTGAGAGGGCGTGCCTTCTTTATTAAATTTTGTCGTATCATATTTGAGTCGTGTACAAACAAAGAGACAACAATAAAATAAAACAAAAAAAAAATAGTTGGGATTAAAATCTTCATTTACATCACTATTGTGCAATAGCATCACATGTCGATATTCCTATCCTACGAGTATAGAGGAAGTTTGTCTCCATGGACAAAGATAAACGGCTCAGCCTCCCACGAGTCTCCAGTAGCTCAGTGGAACAGCATCTGAAGTATTTTTTGGGAGGTCATAGGTTCGACTCAAAGTTATTTTTTCCATTGAAGCCCGTGTCAATCACTGAAGAACATCATCTTAAAAGTTTGTGAAACTGCAGATAACCTTTTGGAGCATCTACGAGTCTTATAACTAACACACGTGCATGTTACCATTAGCAAGCTTTTTCGCCGAGAACCTGCTTCCGAGGCAAAGGGTCAAATCTTATTATTCGTCATCTAAATCTTCTTTTTTCGCATTACATATTGATTGAATCTGCCTCACTTAACTTTATCCTGCTCTAGTCTCTGCATGCCGCTCATGCTTAAGCTAATCTTGATATTATTTGCGCGTTTAGGACTCGAAATCCTGATGACGGAAGATTGGATTTGCTCACGGTCACCTTTCTAATGCTCAATAGATTCTTCAGTGCAGTGACAGCCGTGATAATCCATTTACAGGCCTTTTACTGCCTGCCATTCAATCATTATAGTGTTATTTTGGGGAACTTTGTATTGGATCCTGCATTAAATAATCGCCTTATTGATACTCTCGTCACTCTCAACACTTGTGTGCTTGATATTGTGTTGATGCTGTAAGAAGAAATTCTGCCTTAAAGCGACTTGAAGGTGACAGGAACCCATTTACGTAATGGATCGGGAATTCAACGACTTCATTCTGGCAGCAGTTCAGCCCGCAAAGGCGATCCGACCGAAAGGTTAAATCCAATAAACATGGTAATTAAGATTTATCGATTACTTAAACTCTCTTAATTTCTCTCAAAATGAAAGAAGTTAGTCGATAAAAAACGAAAACAAAGTGTTTCTGCGCATTTTTAAACAAAAGTATTGGCTTTGTATTTTAGAGATTTTAACTTGAGAGGGAAACGAATAAAAAATCTTACTTCAGTGTCTCGGACTTTACTTCACAGACTGATAACTTAGTGGCTTAATGATCTGTCGCCATCTTTTTTGAAGCGTCCGACCATATAACGATTTGAGCAGGAATTATGACGAATTTTCCAAGTTCGGTATTTGCTATTTGTGCTTCTCCGTGACTTTGAGAGAGAAATTTAAGACTTTTTCATCGTTCATTTTGATAAATCTGTAGTTTCATCAGATGTTAGAACAGTGCACAGACAATTAAGGGTCAAAGTACGTACATTTCCTTGCTATACCAAAATCAAATTTTAATCCTTCCGTCCGTATCTATCCTAGTTCGGAACATATATGTTTTTTCGTTTGTTTGTTTTGTTTTGTTCTGTTTTTTTTTTCTTGTTTTCGGTATTAACAAAATATGCAAACAAAGAACATGTGAATTTGTTTACCAATTTGTGATCTAATTATGTTCCCAACTTACACCAGGCCGGAACGTGGACCGACCTCGATACCTTTGCAGTCTTAAATGCTTGTCAATCATGCGTAGAAGCTTCACTGGCAAATATGAAAATGAAAAACCAGTGTAAGGTTGAAAATCCTCAAGTATAGTAGGTTTGCGACCTATCGGGTTGCTATGGTAACACTGTCGCATAGCTTTTGACGTAAATGCACAAATAATGTAAAGCAGTCTTCATTTATTCACACGGTAAAACTCACATTTACTAAGCTTACTATAATGTTAACTCGTTGATTGATAGCTCTAATATAGTGAAGCTTTAAAAATCATCAGAACACGTAAAAACTGTGGAGATGAGTACAAAGATTTATAAACTCAAGTTAGTAGATTAGAACGTTCCATAGATATAAATTCTTCTGAATTAATTTTGATGTGAAAAAAAAAAAAAAAAAAAAAAAACATTCTTCTCTAAAATCGCATTTAATCGAGTATATATGGTCGAGTCTATGACTTTGTCATTTTTTCTAATCGGTGTATTCTGAACATTTTAACCTCTAAAGTAAAAGGCGTTGAAAAAATACAGGTCTTTTTTCTTGCCTTGCAAATTACTTCATAACGTTTCAAAACAGAATCGACTAGTCCGGATGGACATTTTATTCATGTAGACGTTAAATCACGCACACAAATTTCTTTGTCAGATATTAGAAAGCTGAATTCACAGACATTTTGATTTAATCTCGACAGCAAGCAAACTAATTTTTCCTAATTACAGCGTTTTCAAATCAACAATGAATAGTACGTAAGAAAAGATCAACATTATCATGCATGCAAATTACTGCACTTGATGCCTGGTTACGAGGGAAGTAATTAACGATGGCTTTTCCCCGGCGGAATTCATTCAAACTCAAGGAAGGCCACTCGATCATTAATCTTCCAATCACAATTTTTAACAAGAGCGAAGTCGACCAAGCAGAAGACACAGAAATCACAATTTACGTAAACACTTTACCGTCAGAAAGTTTAAAAAAAATCCACTGGTCTAATTTTCATTTCAGTAGATGTGGGGGCGCTGCCCTTGGGATTGTTTGGATCTAAGTTTTTCCAATGGATATCAGCCCAGGTTTCCTTTCGACAATACGGAAAAATTCCGTTGAGATTCGACCAAACAGCACAATCATTACTTCTGCCATACCACCAGCCTCCGCCTCTTTTTAGAACACAATTAGCAGGATCTCTATCCCAAGTACCAAAATTGAGATCTTTGTGAGGATTGAGGGAATCAAAGGAAACAGATGCATCTGCTTAAAAAGAAAAAATTATTCTTAGATATATTATTATTAGATATTAGGATCAAGATAATGTTTTTGACACCCCAAACTAAATAATCGATGAAGTGGGGCGGATATCGATATACAAACATATCGGACAAAATAATAAATACTTAAATTTTGTGATTTTGGTAAAGCCGAGTTCAATGACTTTTCTACATCAAGCGGCTTCGAATACAAACTGTCCACGAAGTAGCGCATACTTAACTAAGTATGGGCAGAATTAACAGCAAAAAACACTCAAACGCTAAACTGAAACCTTTATTTGCAAGTTACGTGGAGTTGGGGGAAGGGATTGAAGTAACAATCAGTAACAGAGAACTGAATAACTGAGTTTTCCGTGAGATTCAAGTTGTCACGAACTTGTATTTTTAATTGGCTAAATTTACAGTGGAAAAACATCAGTTTAAGCAGCCTCTCTGAAGAAACCAATTTTAAATCCTTTTTTAGCAAAAAAAAACCAGCTCTTAAGCTTCTGTGTGAATAGGGCACTGGACGTCGAAAGGAAAGTAACATATAAAAATCCAACGATGAATGTTTAAAAAGACGGTTTACTTACTTGTCATATTGCCAATGTACAGCCGGTAGTCAGTCGTCCCGTTCCCAATCCCAAACCATTCATATTCAGCGTGAACCGTTTGGCGAGTAGTTACCCCCAGATCTACTCGAAGCATGTTCTTTGTCTTGTTTTTTGTCAGACGGTTTATCTTGTCCAGTCCGAGCCAAAATTCACCGACCAAGTTACCGAAGCCATGTTTGTAGTCATTCCAAGTGCGATTAAAATCAACAGAGCCATCCATTCTCTTCTGGAAGACTGTCCACCCCCCACCAGAAGTAGTTTGGTCACAATATACATTAAAAGCGCCTGAGCCATCTGGGTCGATTGTGTAAACACCGCTGATCCTTTGACCGGAATGGTAGAGCTCAACACAGTTCTTAGCTGTTGATGATATGCAAGGGAATAACAGGTGATATACTCTTGAAAAATGACAACAAGAATTGAAATGAATAAATGTTAATAAAGGTAGTAACACACATGAACGAAGAGGAATCGTTCTTACGTCTCGTCAATGTCTTGTTCTCCGTGAGAATTTTAACCTCAAATCGAACTTGGGTGACTTCCTTCATTATTTCTTCCAAACAGTCTGCAGTGTTCTTTTGGCAATCTATTGGGAATGCCCGCGTTGATGGTAGAATTTGATAAGTCACAGAAAGTGCCAGAAAAAGCAGATCAGAACCTAAAGGAAAGAAATCTTATTATATGGTGTCAATTTACTGCTTAGGGCAGGTCCAGGATTAGTAAGGGTGGTTGGATTAATGCCGCCGAAGAAATGAAGTTATTGGAGTGGTAAAAATGTAGCATGTTCCCCTATAAATTTTTGAAATTTAGGTCGTCCGAAAGGTGATTTTGTAGTGAAAAGGCGTTGTTAGAGCTAAATTATAATGCGTCTTAGCAGAAAATGAAATACCCCACTTGGTAAAGACAACAGACATGGTAACGTTGCAGCTTTACTTAAGGATCAAGGCTATCAAGTACAGTGTAGATATGCCGTCAGGCAATTTTCAGCATCAAAGAAACGAATTTCGAAGGATAAATTCTCGAAATCAATAGACTTCTTTAGCTTTTACGTTTTGTTTACCCACTTTATCAGAACTTTAAGTGTGAAGGGAATTCTCAGCCTTATCTTTTGTGAAACATAGGCACATACTCACGTGAGTAAGAAGAATTTGAATGTAGTAATTCGCTAGAGTATTATTACATGACCTGAAGTGGGTAGGCAAAACATACTAGGTAAAGATATCTCTTGGAGTTAAACCTCGGTGCTTCATTTCCTCGCAAAAGAAAAGGTTAATTTTTTCATCATCAAGTTCATTAGCAAAGACGAAATTACCATTTAGTGCGGATTCTACATTCTCGGATGCTGTTAAGGAATTTCAAAAGCCAGATCAATTTGATAGACAGCATATGTGCATTACCCCATTTGCGTTAACCTATACTGCAAACATAAATTGTTTAAAATACATTAAAGTTCAAACGGCAACCAGGTGGTCAATCAGACATGGTTTGATGCCACTCTGGTTTACAGATTTAATGAATGTAACAGAAGAAGTTACAATTCATAGACCCAACGTTTCGACACTCCTGTCTAGTGCCTTCATCAGGGGTGATCTAAACGCTGCAACAAGGGGTCCTTTTATATGATCACTAATTAGCTGCCTTTTTTTTCTGACTAGGTGTAAATAGGCGTCAGGAAGCAAGCCGCCATCGTCACGAGTTAAAGGAGCGTGGGCGGAGTTAATATGCCAAGCCTCCAAACAAAAGCGCTGTTGATAACGCCGATTAGTGGTGATAATTTTAGAATTATCCCGCCCAACTGTATGGTTAGTTAGGCATGTGTGCTCCGATAAAGCTGAATTTTCCTTTTTTACGAGAGAGAACCGCTTTGCTCTTTCAAGCGTGTACCAAGCGTGATGCTCTTTCAAGCGTGTACCAAACTGAGGTTTGGTCTGTCTGATGTATTCGTTGTCACAGTCATTGCAAGGGATAGAATAAACCAAATCGGTTGGTTGTTCTTTCGTGACAGGATCCTTGGGTTTGGCAAAAATATGCCCCAAAGTCTGAAAAGGTTTTTTAGCAACTTTAAAGCTGTGGCTATTCAAAATTCTGTAAATAGTGTATCATTTACCAATCTCGATTTAGAACTCCCTTTCACGCTAGCTCTAAGAAACATTTTTACCTTATTTTATCGTTAGTTCAAACCAACAACGACCTTCAATCAACGATTCACAGTGAACGATCCTTTGACAACTTTTTCAATAACCAACTAGTTCAACAATGACAAGGAAATCTACCAAATCTACGAAATCTCATAACCTTGTTATATTGTAGTCTAGCAACTAATGGACCGTGATTATTAAACCTTGATATTCTCAGTGTTGTATTTGAATGGCCATTGTTTGTTTTTAGAGGCGGATTTTGCTATAAAAATTAAGATGAAAAAGCAACGACGTTTTGATCTTGTGCCTCTATATATAATCAATTGTAAAAATATTAATGAGATACTGACTAAAACTCTAAAATATTTATATAGAAAATTACGAGAAAATTCCGGCAAGAATGATAAAAACGCTAAGGCGAAAGAAACAATCATAAAGTGAATCGATTAAGTAAATAGTTATGCACCGACCGAATCACTACGTTTGTACAGTTTTGGTCCACGTTCGCGAATAAAAAGAATTTCAAGATCAAGCAGTCCAGTTTGCTCTGAAATTTCTTCAAAATCTTGAAATTTCGTTCGATGGTCTCGGGATCCTTTCCGTGCTCGTCCTGTACGTGATTGCCGAATTTTGATCGCTTGTGTTCCTGCACACGTCGTTGAAAGTGTCGGCTCGTGAAACCGACATAGTCTGCAACACACAGTTCTATCGTAGAAATGAGTGAAGGGCGGACTTCATTCAGCGTTGACAAGATAACAGAGGCCGATGAAGCATCGAAATCCAAGCAGAGAAAGCGTTCGAAGACAACTGTTTCAATAGGAAATATGCCCTTAACATCACAAAAAAAAACCACCGTTTTCCAATTCGGCGGAAATTTGTACGAGCAAGCGGATAGGGTTGCCATTGGCTCTCCTCCAGACCACCAAAGGTAAATGCGTTTATGTGCCATATTGAAGAAAAATTGGGAAACCAAAACAAGATGCCTGTTTTCTATTGGCGCTTTGTCGATAAAATCCTCAGCAAAATGCCCGATGTTTCATCTGCCTCTGTATTCCTGTCAACACCGAGTGAAATCCACCCTTCACTCAGTTTCAAAATGGAACTTGGGAACAACGACAAACTTCCCTTTCTTGGAATGATGATTATCAGAAACAGTCCCCGACCAGAAACGAAGGTCTACGGGAAACCAACTGATACTGGAATTTTACCGCGTTACCAAAGCCATGATGAAACAGCTATATACTCTCATGATACTTGATAGTAACATGCCTATTCCTTGTTGAGAGCGTCTCATTCTAATGATTTGAGTGTAACTCTTTGGAAACTATACAGAAAATGTGGCAGCAAGCTTTCTAAACCTACAGGGAATAAACCTGACAGGAAAATGATCCTATTTTCTCTGCAAATGATCTATTTTCTCAACATCATACTTCCCTTACTGTCAAAGACATCACACGTATCAATCTAGTTTTATCGAAAATGACCGTCCCGCTATATTTCTTAAAATGCTTATTGTGAAATATTTAAGAGAGTGCGCGTGACGGTTTTGACGTCATCTCAGATCTTTCGCAACACTCACCAAAAATTGCAAAGTTTGATTTTGTGTTAAGAAACAAGCCGATCTTGAGAGTTTGGAAAGGGGATTGTAAAGAACATATTGGAAAACAAAGTAATAGAATATCACTAGCGTGAAGGTTCGACTGTGTTAGATGAAAAGAACGTGCTTTATCTAAACCAGCATCCAAAACCGCGATGAAACGCCTGCACTTCAACTTCTGTCCACTGCAATTGATCATATATAGAAGGCCTCCCGAGAATTCTTACATCTTGCAAAATTAAGTCTTACATGCAGACCCCATGGTATAAACGTTGCTGCAACTGTTTCCCTCTTCAAATTGAAGAGCTCTAGTATTAACTGACATACTTGTTCCACAAAAAGTCCTATATTTGTAAAAAAAAAAATTACCACAGTGTTTGCGAAAGTTTATATGCACTGCAGATTGTATACCATACAGCCGGTATTACATACCTATTAGTTGCTGAGAACGTCTCATTGTAGTGATTTGGGCGTAACTCTTTGGATTTATGCAGCACGCATGTACGACCAAAAAGAAAATGAGAAACTATACCGAAGATATGGCGGCAAGCTTTATAAACTGATAGGACTATACCCTCCGCTGAGTTTCTTATTATCTGACAGGTAGGTGGACCTATCTTCTCTGCCAATAATCTCTTGTCTCTATATAATACTTCCCTTACTGTCAGAGACATCACTACTTTTAATAATCTAATTTTATCGAGACTGACCGTCCCTAGATAATTTTTTTTTTTTTGTGGCTTAGGTTCCTAGTTTTTAGTTTTTGCACTTAGGATGAGTTTACAGACAGTTAACGGTTTTAGAATTTCCTTACTTTTTTACGACCATTTTGTGCATTCCCCGCCCTGATGACGAATTGTTTCAGTTGCGCACGTGCTCTTCTTAGATTACGTAACTGACTAAAACTTCTTTCAGCATCGTAAAAACTCGAAGACAGATTCATTAACATTATTCAATTAAGCCGCACAATAATGAGATAAAACTATTATTAGAACGATTTACAATCTGTAAATCACTTAAAAAGCATGTCTTCACGTATTCGCTTCGCCATTAAGAAGATGCTGTAAGCTCTTTGAGGACCTATTTGATTTCAGTGAGATGTCCTCCGCTAATTTCTCCTTAAAGAACCTTACCCCTAGTCATTCGATTATAAATCAGCTTTAATAAAGCGAGAGCGAATATCTTGCGACAATATGTAATGGCTCACTAAGATTATTATGGAGCAGAGTTTAAAATGAGTTTGACTTCAATGATAGTCAGACGGTTAGGCAGTCACATTATCAATTACTCACTTGCTCAGTCCCTCACTCACTTGCTCACTCCCTCACTCAATCCATCAATCAATCAATCAATGACTCCATGGATCCAGAGATATATTAACTCACATTATATTTCACATCATTTTATAACCTCAAGGAAAATGCCCGGCGGAAATACAATGAGTACTTATTAATACATTCCTTCTAATACGATACTGCTGCAAGCTCTGTCTTCTGCAGCACTGTTGAGTCAAAAAAAAAATATAAGGTATATGTAATATTCACATAATTAGCATCCATTTCCCCTTCAGAGCTGAGGTTGACTTCAAATGCTACCTTTATATTTGAATATAAGTTTTTTGGTTTTACTATTTTATCAGACGATAACATGTCGATGTCTTCTCTGTCCGGAAGCTTCGACATGTTCATTATTAGCTTGTGTTTACTCAAACGCAGTCTTCAGATTTTGGAAACCGAAAATAACTATACATTTACCCAACGGTGAAGTGGCTGAAGAGAAAAACAAATGAACCATCAAAAATCAAAGCAAAATAAGCACAAAATCCTCTATTTTCAGGCCTTGAGTAATTAAACTTCCCGTGACCAAAAGCAAAATTTATGGTACTTTTATTGAAATCCATCATTCAATGACATTAAAGAACGGT